AAAAGAGGAGGCAGTTAGGGTAAGATATAAACAGCTATTGGAGGATAGATGGGCTAATGAGAGCATAGGCAATGGGGTCGAAGAGGTATGGGGTAGGTTTAAAAATGTAGTGTTAGAGTGTTCAGCAGAAGTTTGTGGTTACAGGAAAGTGGGTGTGGGAGGGAAGAGGAGCGATTGGTGGAATGATGATGTGAAGAGAGTAGTAAGGGAGAAAAAGTTAGCATATGAGAAGTTTTTACAAAGTAGAAGTGATGCAAGGAGGGAAGAGTATATGGAGAAAAAGAGAGAAGTTAAGAGAGTGGTGAAGCAATGTAAAAAGAGAGCAAATGAGAGAGTGGGTGAGATGTTATCAACAAATTTTGTTGAAAATAAGAAAAAGTTTTGGAGTGAGATTAACAAGTTAAGAAAGCCTAGAGAACAAATGGATTTGTCAGTTAAAAATAGGAGAGGAGAGTTATTAAATGGAGAGTTAGAGGTATTGGGAAGATGGAGGGAATATTTTGAGGAATTGTTAAATGTTGATGAAGATAGGGAAGCTGTGATTTCGTGTATAGGGCAAGGAGGAACAACATCTTGTAGGAGTGAGGAAGAGCCAGTTGTGAGTGTGGGGGAAGTTCGTGAGGAAGTAGGTAAAATGAAAGGGGGTAAGGCAGCCGGGATTGATGGGATAAAGATAGAAATGTTAAAAGCAGGTGGGGATATAGTTTTGGAGTGGTTGGTGCAATTATTTAATAAATGTATGGAAGAGGGTAAGGTACCTAGGGATTGGCAGAGAGCATGCATAGTTCCTTTGTATAAAGGCAAAGGGGATAAAAGAGAGTGCAAAAATTATTGGGGGATAAGTCTGTTGAGTATACCTGGCAAAGTGTATGTTAGAGTTATTACTGAAAGAATTAAAAGTAAGACGGAGAATAGGATAGCAGATGAACAAGGAGGCTTTAGGAAAGGTAGGGGGTGTGTGGACCAGGTGTTTACAGTGAAACATATAAGTGAACAGTATTTAGATAAGGTTAAAGAGGTCTTTGTGGCATTTATGGATTTGGAAAAGGCGTATGACAGGGTGGATAGGGGGGCAATGTGGCAGTTGTTGCAGGTGTATGGTGTAGGAGGTAGGTTACTGAAAGCAGTGAAGAGTTTTTATGAGGATAGTGAGGCTCAAGTTAGAGTATGTAGGAAAGAGGGAAATTATTTCCCAGTAAAAGTAGGCCTTAGACAAGGATGTGTGATGTCACCGTGGTTGTTTAATATATTTATAGATGGGGTTGTAAGAGAAGTAAATGCGAGGGTCTTGGCAAGAGGCGTGGAGTTAAAAGATAAAGAATCACACATAAAGTGGGAGTTGTCACAGTTGCTCTTTGCTGATGACACTGTGCTCTTGGGAGATTCTGAAGAGAAGTTGCAGAGATTGGTGGATGAATTTGGTAGGGTGTGCAAAAGAAGAAAATTGAAAGTGAATACAGGAAAGAGTAAGGTTATGAGGATAACAAAAAGATTAGGTGATGAAAGATTGGATATCAGATTGGAGGGAGAGAGTATGGAGGAGGTGAATGTATTCAGATATTTGGGAGTGGACGTGTCAGCGGATGGGTCTATGAAAGATGAGGTGAATCATAGAATTGATGAGAGGAAAAGGGTGAGCGGTGCACTTAGGAGTCTGTGGAGACAAAGAACTTTGTCCTTGGAGGCAAAGAGGGGAATGTATGAGAGTCTAGTTTTACCAACGCTCTTACATGGGTGTTAAGCATGGGTGATGAATGTTGCAGCGAGGAGAAGGCTGGAGGCAGTGGAGATGTCATGTCTGAGAGCAATGTGTGGTGTGAATATAATGCAGAGAATTCGTAGTTTGGAAGTTAGGAGGAGGTGCGGGATTACCAAAACTGTTGTCCAGAGGGCTGAGGAAGGGTTGTTGAGGTGGTTCGAACATGTGGAGAGAATGGAGTGAAACAGAATAACTTTCAAGAGTGTATCAGTCTGTAGTGGAAGGAAGGCGGGGTAGGGGTCGGCCTAGGAAAGGTTGGAGGGAGGGGGTAAAGGAAGTTTTGTGTGCAAGGGGCTTGGACTTCCAGCAGGCATGCGTGAGCGTGTTTGATAGGAGTGAATGGAGACAAATGGTTTTTAATACTTGACGTGCTGTTGGAGTGTGAGCAAAGTAACATTTATGAAGGGATTCAGGGAAACCGGCAGGCCGGACTTGAGTCCTGGAGATGGGAAGTACAGTGCCTGCACTCTGAAGGAGGGGTGTTAATGTTGCAGTTTAAAAAATGTAGTGTAAAGCACCCTTCTGGCAAGACAGTGATGGAGTGAATGATGGCGAAAATTTTTCTTTTTCGGGCCACCCTGCCTTGGTGGGAATCGGCCAGTGTGATAATAATAAAAAATTATTAATTTACCAGCAGTTGTTAACAGGCTGCATTTAAAATTTATCCTTTAGAAGCCATAATAACAAAATATACTGAGTTTGGTAAGAAGCTGTTTTAGTTACAGCGTTTGTGTTCTGAATTGCTTGTAACCGTATAATAAATCTACAAAAGACCCAATCTTGAATTTGTCATGCCAACCTGGTTCCTATTCTTGCTAACACATTTTATTTAGGCTTCAAATACATTTAATGTACAGCAATAAAGGAGTGGAATGGACTGCCTGCACATGTCAAAGCCTGTCATAGCATGAACCAGTTCAATAAGAGAGCCAAAAGGTACCCAGTGAATGTAGCGACAGAAAGGGAGGAGAGTGATTTCTTGTAGTATAGCTAACATACATGTACGTACCTATTACTGTGAGCTGATTCTCTCTTTAATGTTAATGTAAATAACTCAATTTACCTTATTCCTAGTACATCTCCTTTTACTGTAACTGCTTTTCACATAGTTAACTTACTTACCTGTTTTAACTTTAAAGGTTTAAATAATAAGTTATTACAAGGACCCCAATGGAAGTCAATAACTTTTTTGGGTTATCCTAGGTAATCTACACATACAATGGAACATTGGTTTTTGTTATTAATTCGTTCCAGAAAGTCTGACGAAAACTGAATTCGACGAAAACTGGGGCAATATTTCCCGTAAGAAATAATGTAAATACAATTAATCCATTCCAGACACCCAAAAGTATTAACAAAAAATACATTTCATAGAGAATAACTATAGTTTTACATACAGAAAACGATGAGAAATAAATATAAAGGATTAATGAAATGGATAAATGAACATTTAACATCACTTTTACCTTTATTGAAGATTCTTGTTGGCGTATGGAAGATGGCGAGGAGGGGAAAGGGAGGAGAGGTTATCTCTACCACCATCAATACCACCCTTACCATCACAAGCACTACCACTCTCTACTGCCATCACTACCACCCTCTATCACCATCACTACCACCATCACTACCACACTCTACCAATGAGAAACAAAGCCAGACTGAGTTGGAACGCATGGGATGCTTTGTGTGGGCGTGGGTGGACACGTTCGGTACGGTGAACGGCTGTCAACTCGATGAAAACCAAGGTGATGAACGAAAACTGGGACAAAGCTTTGACGAAAAAAGTCGTCAAAAACTGAATTCGACAAAAACCAGGGCAAACGGAAACCAAGGTTCCACTGTATGCTACTGTGTATGATAATTTATGTAACCGCATTTGTGTGTACCTTTACCTGAATAAACTTACTAAAAGCTACAGTAGATATACAAGCATTTGGAAAAATTCAGAGCTACAAAACTGTTTACCAGACGTGAAAGATTGCAACTATAATGCAAGACAAAGCTACATATATCAAGAAAAAATAAAATTTGCTATTGCAGTATAATGAAAAAGCAAAGCTTAAAAACTGGAAGTGCTATTTTAAGAGTAGCTGTTGGATGGAATAAACTGGTAAATAGTGATTATTATTATTGCTAAACCCACAAGGGCCATACAGTGGTAAATAGTGATATAAATTCTACCACAGTACTTGCCTAATTGTGGTTGCAGGGGTTGAGACTCAGCTCCTGGACCCACTACCTCAGCTACCTGGAGTGTGGGGAACTATAACTTGAGGGGCTTTCAGGGGCCAATGCCCCTGTGGCCAGGTCCATGACCACGCCATTAAATAAATAAGCTAATGAAAACCTATGAAAACTATATTAATATACTGTAGAAGACTATGTGGATTTGCAACCCCAGGGTTAGTATTACTTTTATTACTTTCAATGAGAAGAGCTAAACTCAAAAGGGTCATACAGGAGCTGTTGGGGGGGAGGGGAAGTTTGAGAGAGATTCGATCCAAGGGAAGTGTAGCTCCCATTCCCTAAGAAAAGGGCTATTAATCCTGATAACGTTGGGCATGTTTCCTTATACCTACTGCTCCTGTTTACCTAGCATTAAGTAGGTACCTGGGTGTTAGCCGACTATAGTGGGTCACATCCTGGGGAATAAGTAAGTTTATTCAGGTATACACAAATACAGTTACATGGATTATCATACATAGCAACATATGTGTAGAAAACCTAGGATAACCCCCCCCCAAAAAAAAAAAAATAAGTGACTTGTTTCCATTGGGGTCCTTTATTTCCACTGGGAAGAGGGGTAGTATACCTAAGATAGGGCTGGGGAATGTGAAATGAGCTGAGGAAGGATAACAGCTCTTGGCCTATAAAAAATGATGTATATACTATAAAAAAATATTATTATTTCCACTGTGGCTTTTTTTGGTCCTTCCAAATGCGATGCACAAGTCAACTACTAGGTATCTGTTTACTGCTAAGTAACAGTAAATATATCAAGGTGTTAGACCCCAGTGGAAATAAATCACGTTATTAAACTTAATGTAAAATCTTACCTACGATAAACCAATAATAGATAAGCCACTGCAAAAATTTAAACTTATGCACGAAGCCTAAACAAACACCTACTTGCCCATATGTCCTGCCTCATCTATGTTATAACCCCGGGTCCTCTCAGCTGTGAGCAGTACTCGCTACCACTGTGCTACACAACTTTTTCAGGATATGTGCAGCCACTTACAGGTTCTTTCTTTCTTTGTTGGGTTTATCAGGGCCGCTGACAGTATAAGCCGTATTAAGCCCGGTTTCTCGATGGGACGAGGAAGATTTGCTGTCCAAGGCTGGGCGATGAGAGAAAAGGAACAAAAGTTTCTTTCTTAATAGAAACTTGAAGTTTCCAATTAGATCCGAGCCCCAGCAGAGAGGGACGCCTACACTCCCACCAGAGTTCAGTAACCGGCTTCCCACCAAAGACCGATAAAGAATTTTCCGCAGAGCGGGAAAAAATGGAGCTGGTTAAAAGTAAGCCGATGAACAGGTGCCTCTCCTGGACCAATAGTCTCATTGTGCCTATCCCTAAGCCCCAACAGCCTGATACATTTAGGCCGATCTCCTTAACTAGTTGTCTTTGCAAAACTTTTGAAAGAATGATGCCTAACAGATTGTACTACAGAATCAGACATCAACTTTCCCCCTACCTCTATGGGTTCATGAAAGGTAAAAGTGTGCAGAACTGTATTTCCACCTTTCTCACTGCACACACCTCTACTAGTTTTACCACTTTTCTTGATCTAAAATCTGCATTTGATATTGCAAACAGAACCGTTATACTACATGAACTAGCCAAAATGAATATTGGTGGTAGCTTACTCTGCTGGATAATAGGATACCTGTCAAACAGAGTATCCTCTGTCCTTTACCAAGGCTTCAGAAGTGATTCTAAAGAAATGTCTTTAGGTACACTGCAGGGAGGAGTTCTTAGTCCATGCTATTTAATATTCTGATTAATGCTCTCCTAAATGCTCTACCTGCCTCACCTAAACATATAGCTATAAGCTATGCTGATGATATCATGATCCATACAACAGGGCATAAGAAGATGAATACCATTCTTAATGAAGTTCAAGCAATTCGTAATCGACTAGGCCTCATAATATCTTCCTCTAAAACAAAGATATTAACAAGCAAACGACATCCCCCACCCATCTATTTGCAGGGTGAAATCATTAGCTACGTTAAACTTACAGATATCTTGGTGTAGATGTACCCTTTAACAAATCCACTATACCACAACTAAAACAAGAAATGTAAAGCTAGGCTAAATGCTCTCAAAGCTGTTGCTGGCTACAATCCCAACTATGGTGCTAATGTGAGAATCGTGAGAATGATGTACATAGCCTATGTTAGGTCCTTAATTGATTATGCTGCTCCCATGTTGATATTAGCTAGAGAAAGTTCCTCCGACCCTTGGAGTTAATGCAAAATGAAGCTCTCAGGACTATTCTTGGCTGTCCCAGATCTACAAAAGTTCTTAACATGAGGAAGGAGCTTGGTATTTCTAGTATCAGTGATAGGATTGTTGAAATTAACACTGTACTCGGTATTAGAATGTTGGAGAAACGAACCAGACACTGTCACAGTGAATCTTACCAAGTGTCTAGAGGTAATACACACAGATCTAAATGGATTGTGAAAACGTGCAATTGCATTAAGTTTTATAACCTGCATGAACTGTATCACTGTAGGCAACAAGAGCATTTCACCCCTCCATGGAAGATGTGTTCATTTAATATCACATACCTACAAGTCCCTCCCAGAAGCTCATTGCTAGTAATCCCTTCCTTAAATCTCGTTAGAGCAACTGCTCAAGAAGAAATTTTTCGCCTAGCTGGTAGTAATAAGTTATCACAAGTTATATACACTGATGGATCTAAACAGGAGTCTTCTGGCAGGGCTGCATCTGCTCTTGTTGCCACCTCCCTAGTTAAGAACGATAATAAATTTGTTGAGCTAGGCATAAGAATTAACAACTGGGCGCCTACACTGCAAACTGAATTGTTTGCAATCCTAATGGCGCTAAAGCTAACCTATGACACTGAGCTTGACTCTATCATCATTACTGATTCTATGTCATCATTGAAGGCTCTTGGCTCATATAATGACTCCAACAACATGCTCATTGGGGAAGCCAGGTATAGATACTCAAAAATTAGGGACAAAGGAATTAATGTACAATTACTATGGATCCCATCACACATTGGATTACTCCTTCATGATAAAGTTGATATGTTAGCCAAGAAGAGTATCCAGAAGGAGAACGTAGAATATAACTTTGGTATAACTGTGTCTAGCATTAGGAATAATATTAGGAGAGAAGTAAATAATGAAGATGATTGTTATAGGAATGCAGTTAGAAGCCTGAGTAGATCTATAACCCACTATGATAACATGAACGTAGATAAGTATGTTTATGGAGCAACTTGCAATGTGAACAGACTGACTGATGTTGTAGTGGCCAGGCTTAGGCTTGGTTACAAGTACTTCTGGCAGTTTGGGAGACACAGATGATGATCAAACTAAATGTAAATTATGTGATCAGGCATAACCTATGTGACATGTCAAGATATCTTATTAATGAAAATAAGATACCAGTTATACTAAGCAAATTTCCTAAATTTGCTTGTAACAGATAAGTGAACTATAGATATGTAGATATAAATCCATATGTATTCCTGTTAACCCTTTGGGGCCTAGTTCCTAGGCCTTTTGTGTATCCATATGCTCTCGCGCTACCGTCCACAGGATGGATATGGGGTGCACAATAAACTAGCCACTTCGGTGGCAAAATCTAAATCCTCTCCTGTAGAGTGCCCGGCGGGCAAAATAGATGAGGACAAGCGTAACAGAGAGAACGGTTGAAATTTGTCACTGACACTGATACACAGGTGCGAGAGAGACGTCCACACCCGACGAAGGCTGGAGCAGAAGTCCTTTAGATGTTTCTTCACTTGATAGCGCAAGTTGTAGTGGTCTTGTTGGGTTTGTAAGGGCCACTGACAGCTAACGTAGTATCGGGCCCGGCTTCAGTCCATCAATCTATGCTGTACATTCTACAAGATTGATGGACTGAACACATTGACTCCAGGCTGAGGGACTGATTACCTCAAATTCCTCCTCTTCTTGCGCCTTTCTGCTTTGTATTGGACTGATGAAGCCACTGTGTGGCGAAACGTTTCCTAAATAAAGATTCCCATATGGTGCATAAGTGTCTCAATCTTCATCTCCGTACATCAGGAAGCCGGGCCCGATACTACGTAAGCTGTCAGTGGCCCTTACAAACCCAACAAGACCAAAACACATATGCAACAGTTAGGTATCTTTATTATGAAACGTTTCGCCTACACAGTAGGCTTCTTCAGTCAAGTACAGAAAAGTTGATAGAAGCAGAAGATACTTGAAGACGATTACATCGTCTTCAAGTATCTTCTGCTTCTATCAACTTTTCTGTACTTGACTGAAGAAGCCTACTATGTAGGCGAAACGTTTCATAATAAAGATACCTAACTGTTGCATATGTGTCTTACCTAACAACCTGTCGGTATTTTATACCATTTTAATGTTCAAGACCAAAACAACTTGTGCTATCAAGGGAAGAAACATCTAAGGGACTTCTGCTCCAGCCTTCGTCGGGTGTGGACGTTTCTCTCTCACTTTGGAAGGGAATCCGTCATCAGTGGCAAGAGGGCCTTGCACATTCCCTCTCTTTTTCGGCGTTGGGCTCTGTCCGAACTTTTAATGGCCCCTGCCCTTGGGCTCTCCATCCCAGCCGCTCGGTGGACGTTGCACTTACTCGCCTTCGAGTCGGGCACTCGCGACTGGCGGCTCATCTATATCGCCTTCGGATGACGGACTCTCCGTACTGCCCGTGGTGTCCCTCACAGTCTGAGACGGTGGAACACTTCCTTCTGTGGTGCCCACGTTATCACTCTGCACGGACTACTCTCCGTGCGGCCTTGCGCACACTTGGGGTGCACACTTTCACTCTACCTGTCCTCTTCAACGGGGAGGGGTTTCGCCCTCTGGACCGTCAGGAGATATTGGCCTGTACCTGCTCCTTCCTGCTGGCTTCAGGGCGTATCAAAGACATATGATACATAATTATTAGTCAAGACATTCTTCCACTTTGGTCGATACTCCCACTCCTAGCACTGGACGGCCGGGATCGATACGGCGTATGCTGTCAGTGGCCCTGAAACCCAACAGAAGAAGAAGAAGAAGAAGAAGAAGAAGTCTCTCTCTCACCTGTGTATCAGTGTCAGTGACAAATTTCCACCGTCAGTGTCAGTGACAAATTTCCACCGTTCTCTCTGTTACGCTTGTACTCATCTATTTTGCCCGCCGGGCACTCTACAGGAGAGGCACCTGTTCATCGGCTTATTTTTAACCAGCTCCATTTTTTTCCGCTCTGCGGGAAATTCTTTATCGGTCTTTGGTGGGAAGCCGGTTACTGAACTCTGGTGGGAGTGTAGGCGTCCCTCTCTGCTGGGGCTCGGCAAGGGCGTCCACTGGATAGTAAGTAAGTAAGTAAGTAAGTAAATTTATTCAGGTATACACAATACAGTTACATAGAATTATCATACATAGCAGCATATGTGTAGAGAACCTAGGATAACCCAAAAAAGTCAGACAGAGTGACTTATTTCCATTGGGGTCCTTTTACCTTATTATTATAATATAAAGGTTATAATATTTTCTTATTATTCTATAATGAAGATAACTTCAAGTTTCTGTTTACAAAGTATTGTGGCTTAGCGCTTCTTTTTTGATTATAATAATAATGTTTACAAAGGAACTTTTGTTCCTTTTCTATCATCGCCTGCCCATAATGCTCTGCATACAAGGGGCTTTGACATGTTACACTTAACCACTGTATTTCTTTGTACTTCTATATATCATGTTCAAATAAATAAATAAATAAAACAATTTTCCTCGTACCATCGAGAAGTCGGGCTCGATACTGCTTAGGCTGTCACTGGCCCTGATAAACCCAACAAAGAAGAAGGAAGAACTAGACCCCAGAAGGGTTATAAGGTGTGCATACGGGTTTATATCTACGTACCTATAGTTCACTTATCTGTTACAAGCAAATTTAGGAAATTTGCTGAGTATATCTGGTATCTTATTTGGATTCAGGAAAAATAAAAACACTAATGATGCAATTATAAAAATGCAAGATCTGCTTTACACAGCATTGGAAAATAAGGAATATCCACTAGGAATTTTTATTGACCTAGGAAAAGCTTTTGACACAGTAGACCACGGCATCCTACTCCACAAACTTGACCATTATGGTATAAGAGGCCATGCGCTTGCATATTTTAAATCTTACATTACTAATAGGTATCAGTATGTCACCATTAAAGACACACCATCAACAACACGGCCACTCATCGACACCATGCCTAACCCTTCTAGGGTAGGGTAGGTGCCTGAGCCCGAGCCTTTAGCTCATAAGACTGTCATTCCCATTCGCCCCCTTGGGGCGGGGATGGCAGAGCAGAGAGGCCTAGCTTGTGGCTAGGCCTGGGGACAATTGGTCCCAAAGATGAGGAGGTACTTGTGCCTCCTCCCATGGGAGACTTAGGTCTCAGACACTCCCTAAAGAGGGAGCCAAGGCCGGGCCACCACTTGGAAAAGGCCCGGGCCGGGAGAATACCCGGCTAATCTTTAACTAACTAACTAACACGGCCACTTGATACTGGAGTTCCGCAGGGGAGTGTCCTTGGTCCCCTGCTCTTCCTCATATACATCAATGATCTTCCAAACGTATCCCAACACCTGAACCCCATTCTCTTTGCTGACGACACAACTTATGTCATCTCTCACCCTAATCTTGCCACCCTCAACACCATTGTTAACGAGGAGCTGATCAAAATATCGACTTGGATGACAGCCAATAAACTTACACTTAACACTGACGAAACCTACTATATTATGTTTGGTAGCAGAGCAGGAGTTTTGCAAATTAACATGAAGATCGACAACACTCTAATTGCCAGACATAATGAGGGCAAATTCCTAGGCCTATACCTTGACAACCTGAGTTTCAGCACCCATATCTAACACATAACCAAAAAAGTATCCAAAACGGTTGGGATCCTCTCCAAGATACGATACTACGTGCCGCAAAGTACCCTTCTCACACTATACCACTCATTTATCCATACCTCACCTATGCTATTTGTGCTTGGGGATCAACTGCAGTAACACACCTAAAGCCAATAATAACCCAACAAAAAGCCACAGTAAGAATAATCACTAAATCCCATCCCTGGCAACACACCCCCCCACTCTTCATAGATCTAAACTTACTCCCTGTTCAGTACATCCACACTTACTACTGTGCAATCTACATCTACAGGACCTTAAATTCCAATATTAACCTTGACCTAAAATGCTTTCTTGATAGTTGTGACAGAACCAACAGACATAACACCAGACACAAACTTCTCTATGACATTCCCCATGTCCGACTAAACCTTTACAAAAATTCAATGTATGTCAAAGGCCCTAAAATCTGGAACACCCTACCTGAAAACTCTAGAACTGCAGACACATTCGTCACCTTCAAAACTACCATTACAAAACATCTTATCTCCCTGATACACCCTGTCAACTAACTACACGAATACCACCTGGTGGTTCACACTTACACTCACTCACCCATTTGACCATAAACATAAATATCAATCTCAATCTTAAAATAATGAATCCTAACTAGTCATAAGTTGGCCTGTGATACTCCAATACTGAAACTATGTATTGTGCCAAAACAAAAGCATTCACATTGCTAAACTCACAAACTAGTATTTAGTCACTTAGCCATAATACCAACTTACCTCATAATTTGTAATATTTTAAATTTAAGAATTAATCTAAGTCTGCCCGAAATGCCTAGCCATGCTAGGTGTTCCAGTGGCCCCCTCTGTAATTATTTTACTACATGTAAACCACACAATAACCAAATTCTGTAAACTCAGCATTGTAATCCTTATAGAGAATAAACTTTGAATATCTTGACATGTCATATAGGTTATTATACTATCTTTGTATTCCTCAGTAAGTGGGCAATTAAGCACATAGTGTTCAAGACAGTGACCATATACCTAATCACATAATTTACATTTAGTTTGATCATCATCTTTGTGTCTCCCAAACTGCCAGAAGTACAGTGGACCCCCGCTTAACGATCACCTCCCAATGCGACCAATTATGTAAGTGTATTTATGTAAGTGCGTTTGTACGTGTATGTTTGGGGGTCTGAAATGGACTAATCTACTTCACAATATTCCTTATGGGAACAAATTCGGTCAGTACTGGCACCTGAACATACTTCTGGAATGAAAAAATATCGTTAACTGGGGGTCCACTGTATTTGTAACCAAGCCTAAGCCTGGCCACTACAACATCAGTCAGTCTGTTCGCATTACAAGTTGCTCCATAAACATACTTACCTACGTTCATGTTATCATAGTAGGTCTTTGTCCAAAGGTTGAACAAAGACCTACTTTGACTAGTGGATGGTACCACTATGATCCCGCCTCCGTCTGCTTCAAGTCACCTCACTACAGTATATAAGCCACGTCTACGGCCCTATGCTGTACATTCTACAAGATTGATGGACTGAACACATCGACTCCAGGCTGAGGGACTGATTACCTCGTACTCCTCCTCTCCTTACTCCTTCCTCTTTGTATTGGACTGATGAAGCCACTGTGTGGCGAAACGTTTCCTGAATAAAGATTCCCATATGCTGCATAAGTGTCTCAATCTTCAACTTGTCGGTTTTTCAAACCATTCATCACAACTGTCAGACACTGCAGCATCATGGGATCTTCTTACAAAGAATTCTTCAACGCTTGTTCAACCTTTGGACAAAGACCTACTTCGACTAGTGGATGGTACCACTATGATCCCGCCTCCGTCTGCTTCAAGTCACCTCACTACAGTATATAAGCCACGTCTACGGCCCTATGCTGTACATTCTACAAGATTGATGGACTGAACACATCGACTCCAGGCTGAGGGACTGATTACCTCGTACTCCTCCTCTCCTTACTCCTTCCTCTTTGTATTGGACTGATGAAGCCACTGTGTGGCGAAACGTTTCCTGAATAAAGATTCCCATATGCTGCATAAGTGTCTCAATCTTCAACTTGTCGGTTTTTCAAACCATTCATCACAACTGTCAGACACTGCAGCATCATGGGATCTTCTTACAAAGAATTCTTCAACG